ACATCTTCTGTTTTATAGTAGATTGTGTTTCAGCGACCAGCTGACCCTTTGACTCGTTTACTATTTCTTGGAAAACATTTGAACTGCGATATCAAGTTGTGATAAGGGTTAAGTATGGTTGTTTGTCTCCCTGAGTTTCGTTTTTTCGCATAATTCAATCAAGTCCTTCCGTTAATCACTGTTATAAACTAAACTAAAATTTTTTGTTTGGTCAAAACAACACTAAATTGATGATGTGGATTTTTGTGATGTGGCACATCATGGACAGTGATGCTGTGAGAAACTATTAGGTAAGCATGTCTTGCCACGTAAGCAGTATGACGCTCTATTCAGCGCTCGCCACATGTCTCTTTTTTCTTTTCTTTCCCTTAACCTGCGGCATATACTTAGCATGGCCGGCGACCAGCCACAAGCGAGGGTCGGCGGGGCGTTGCGACCCTCGCTGGCCATAGGCAAGGGTCGCCCTTGCTGGATCTGGATTGGCAGAAGAAAAATCAATGAGTGAAGTGACGATGGAAGATGAGCTGCCAATGGAGAAGCAATCGGATAGCCATGTGGTGTTGAAGGCGTCGGTGGAGTTAGTGGCGAAGTCGCAATCGATGCGGAAGAAGACGTTGCCTGCTCAAAGAAAAAGAAGAAGCGGATAGGAGGCAGAGCCGGCGAGAGGGAGAGAGGAGGAGGAGGAGGAGAGAGATGAAGATAAAATCTGAAACGTGGATCCCACTCAAGCATGTGGCGATCAATGAGTGGAGTGTCTTACTGTTTACATAGCAAGACTAATCTACCCGAAATTTTCTCGTGATTTTGATGTTGCTCTTGTTAAGTATCACATAAGCAAACATCAAGGACAAAATATGAAATAAAAAAGGAGAAAACACTAGAGGGAAGAGAGAGAGAGAGATTAGGTGGTTGGGTGGGAGCAATGGCTGCCCGATCACCAAAATGAGGGTCCTCTGACCCTCGCCAGGTATAGGTGGAGTCCGGCAACTTCCTTTATGCTCAACCATTAATGAGGGTCACTTGACCCTCCTTGCGAATGGGCGACTCCTTGGCGTGGGTCAAGGGGCGATGATAGGGATGAGCAACCGAGCTAGTTTATAAGGGGATTAGTCCGGTTCTCGATTCCAAAAATTGAGAATCGATCGGTTTAGTTCTTAGTTTTATACTTTGAATCGGTCATATCTACCTAGGAACCCGAAACCGGCAACGGTAGAACCTGGAGCCAAATTGATTATGAACCGATTTACCCATAATTCTTAGTAAGTTTTTTTCACTCTTCCTTATAAACAAAAAATATTTGTTGTAATAAAATATGTTCGGCAGAGAATTGTAAACATATACATGTTTGACACATGTATATTGTATAGATTATAAAATTAAACAAAAACAAGGCCTAAAGAATTGTAAACATATACATGTGTAATAGGGTGACTTTCAGATTCTAAAACTAGAACCTACCCAGTACCCACCTTAAAACTGATCATTTCTCGACACTGAACCCTTCCCCCCCACCCCTCCTTTCTCTCTCTCATACTTAGCCATCGTGTTAGAATTTCCATATCAAGAGCGTGCTTTGCGCATTTCGTTTTTACCTATCTCGTAGTTAACCATTGCGATAGAATTTCCATGTTAAGAGCGTGTTTTGCGCATTCTTTTTACCTATGTTTTCTGATAAAAATAATATGTTATTGCAGTTCACCTCTAATTAACTCGACATAGAACTCGAAAATCATAGGAAAAAAATCGACCAACATAGAATAGATTACAACTCAGATAGATGAGGTCCGCGCACATGCGAAATCATAAAAATCGTCCTAAATCGAACTCAAAATAAATCCAAGTTCGAAACCGTCCCCTTCCGATCGATGAAACGAAAAATTACCGAGATGAGCTGAATACCAAGACAAAACGGGCTCAACAGCATCAAGGTCTGACCCAATATGCACGATTCTTTATATGCTCGCAGAGTCATCCATGATCACGATGAGGTCTAATTAAGGTCAAATGAACTCCATTCATGAAAGTGCAGGATAACATCCACCATTTATTGCCAGTAGACCCCATGTAAAATTGTACAGAAGCAACTCTCTCTCTCTCTCCCTCCCTCATGGTGATCGTAGAGTTGCCTTAAGTCAGTGTGACGCATTTGCTGACTGCACGTTCAATGCAGCTAAAGAACAAACCCTACTCTCTATGTACATGGACGACCAACGCCAGTTGAGCCAACAGTTAGATGCTCCTACACCCACCAACATAACAAGTAGAGTTAGCCCCACGGCCATGGGGTTACTCGAATAGTAAGTGTATTCGTCCTCATCCTCCCTCAAGACTTGAGTTCGAATCATCAAGCATATGCATTCTTTCAACTGCGTATCTTTGATAATTAACTGGTGTGTCCGTGTGTGTGTGTGTGAGATGAGGGGATTGTTACGGTAGGTGAGGATTCGTCGGATGCTGAAAAAGAGTTTCAAATGCGACCGATACCGACAATTAGAGTTGTCACGTCTTGATTGCGCGGCAAATCATATATGACTGGTGTAGCATCTACGAACAGGTGGTCCAAGACTATAAGTGATATCGAGAACGTCGTGTAAATAGTAAATATTCTTTAAAGACGTAAAAAGCAAGTACTTTTTCCCAAATATGAAGTCCTAACAAATGTGGAAGTTCTGTAATTTATTGATTTTCACTTGTCTTGAAAAACGTAAAGTTCTATATTTTCAGTGATGCTAATTAACGAGGAAAATGTTAAAAAGCGGCCCTTGTTCGCCCTTGTCGCGGTGATTTGTATGTATGGCGGACCATGACCTTTCTGGTCAACATTAATGGCTGTGAAACCCAAGGTGTTGCCAAATAGGCCTGTGATGTCATCTTATTGCCCCTGATTTTTCATCGACTTTCTTGTCCTTATCACAATAATTCGAATTCAACTGTGTTAAACATGTTTCGATTAAATTTAAGATCGTGAACTAGTTAGATCGGGTCAATTTAGAGTCCATCATCTTCGTGTCGCGTCGAATTTGGGAATCTCTTCGTTGAATTTTTAGTCCTGTTAAAGAATGTGACCCTCATATTGCCAATATTGCTGCACCATGAACCAGCTTGTTCACGCTTTGTCAGACAATTGGATATGGCCTACGAAGAACAGAGAAGAAAGCCCAATAACAGATCAACCCAAGGTCTCTTTGAGTCTGCACAGTAACCGTGCAACGCATGTACATGGCCCGATCTCGACAGGGGACAAGGCCCTCGATGAAAATAAGGCACTTTCTCAATGGCTCTTCATTTGGATCAGGAAGACACATATCATCATCTGTGCTTCCATTAGATTCACAGATACAATCTGTGGCCTGTGCAACCACAGACACCATTGATGAATTTACCAGGTATGATGAACAGTCAATTGATGCAATCAACTTCTTCTTTTAGGTGTCATCGGATCGAGAGTGTCCCGTTGGAAATTCTCCTTCCCATGAATATTAGAGAACATTGTCTTGATTTCTTGACACAGAGAAGGAAATCTAAGACGCGGTGGAGAGAATCGACGATGAGGTAGAACAAGTTAGGATGGCAATGAAGCGGGGTGGGGCGAGATTAATGTTCCGCATCCCGTCCTGGCCTGGACTTCCGTTCCAGGCACATGATCTTAGCCATTTTATCATGTGCTTCCATGCTAGAAATACCCCACGAGACCCAACCCCTCTATCTGCCTCTCAGCCTCTGCCCCTCTCTCTCCCTTATGCACCACCACACCGGGCCCCACCGCCATCGGCTTCGCACCTCAGGCCGCCGTATATTGACAACAACGACCTCCAATTCAGCCATCACTATGTTGATCCCTGAGCTCTTGCAGTGGAGAAGCTAGTGCCTCCGTTGAGCTTGTCGTCGGCAATGGAGCTCACGATGGAGGTCGAGAGAATGAAGGAATGTAGTTGATAACATGTGGTGGTGCCAATCTGGAGACGCGGCGAATTGGCAGGAGAGAGAGGGGGTTGATGATGGGGAATTTGATGGGAAGTGTTGAGAGGATAAATGAAGTCGACCCGAGTCGCAATCTAAAGAGCAAGACAGCATATGGGAACATAACAAGTGATGGCGGATCTTCATCCTTCAGCTGTGTTGCATCATACTGCTAGCACGTTTAGACATTAATGCTTGTTATACTAGATTGACAAATTGTGAGAGACAAAAACAAGAGTTTGAAACAAGGAGCAATATGTCCTCACTACTGTGTCTTTGTCATGGGGACTCATGGAACTCACCAGATCAGCACTCACATCAGATAATGAGCAGCGGCCCTAAAAAATGAAGGGGAGAGATAGAAACCATACAATTGCAAATTTGTATTTTTCCAGTTATTCTATTCAAGCCAGATTCATGTCAAAGCTCCTCTTTAAATCTTCAATATTAGAAATACAAATTCGTCCTATGCCATTGTCAACTGCAGCAACTTGTTTCATATGGCCATGCCTGCAAAGCCAAAAGAAAAGGAGTGGGAGGTATCTTGTGGCTATATAGCACCTTGTCCTTTAGAATATGTTTGTGCATCTCTTGTCCCAATCCCATCCACTTGCTCTTTTAAACCTTAAACAATTCCCACCAGTTTCATCTCACAAACAAAAGATATCCCTCAAAAACCAAACTCCACCAACTAACAAGAGCAGATCCAGCACCAGCAGCTAGTCCACTCTTCCAGCATGCACTGAGACTCTCTCTCTCTCTCTCTCTCTCTCTCTCTCACACACACACACACACACACAATGAGAATGGCCACAAGCAAATTAGCCAGTGCATCATCATCTACGTCACCCTTCAAGTCCTCTTTTGCCAACCTGCTGAGACCTCCTCTCCATAAAATCTTCTCCAGCACTGACCAACACCATTCACTGTGTGTCGTTGTGGCAACCAAAGCTTTTGCTAGTTGGTCTTCGAAACGCATGGCTTATTAGTGGACCACCCCAAGGACCACCTTTCACTGGGTTTAATTTCTTTTAACTACCATGTGGCCTAAATCGGTAGTCAGCAAGATCCTTGGAAAGAGATTCGGCAGCAACAACTTTGTCGCCGACTTGTCGCGCGCCGACATGGAGACAGCATTGGCGCCGGAAGTTCCAGGTTTAGAGCAGTTATCGTCTTATTATGACACCAAGAGCCTCTTAGATCATCGGAAGGAAACGCATAATTACAAGTAAGAGCCACTTCACTTCTATTCGATATCATAACTACACGTATTGATAAAGCTTTGCTTATTGCTTATTTCTGCATCATCTTGATCTCTTCCAGGATCTTCGTTAGCACTTGGAATGTTGGTGGTTTTGCACCAGGAGATGACTTGTCGATCGAAGATTGGCTCGACATACGCGACAATCCATGCAATATTTATGTTCTAGGGTAAGTTTCCAGTCTCCGGCGTAAGCTCATATACCGCATCAATCATAGTTACAAATATTATCCAAACTAAGCTGGACTCCCCAAAAGAAACGAAACGAACGCTGTGTTCTTTAACGGAATGACTTTGCATTATATTTCGGCTCCTCATCACCGATAGACTGAGTCAACCTCGCAAATAATCTTGTTCTCGCCATACATGGCCGTTCTTCATTGAGACAAACCACACTGAGAGCTCAAAACATTTTGGAATATAGATGGGCGTGATGTCTTCGTTTGATCTATCCAGGTTTCAAGAAGCAGTCCCTCTGAAATTTTCCACTGTTCTGGGTTCGGAGAACCCGACGATCCAAGCAAAATGGAACGCGGTGATCGGGAAATCCTTGAACCGAACGGGACACAAGCAAGACAAGTTTCATTGCATCATGAGCAAGCAGATGGTCGGAATATTGGTCACGATTTGGGTTCCTAGTGAGTTGCTCGCGTGCATAAGCCATCCAAGTGCTTCATGCGTAGGCTGTGGCGTTATGGGCTACCTTGGCAATAAGGTGGCCTCTCCTCAATTTGCCTCCACATGTTATTCATCATGGACTTTTTTCCTTTCAAGAAATATTATTTTATATCATCTTGTTATCCGTTTTTATAAAAATATATATGGTGATTCAGCACTCCCAAATTGTGGCCTTCAAGGAAACTAAGGCCATAAATAAATATTAAACATGTTCCTCAAGCTTATAGAAAAGAAAGAATGAAGTATTATCTGGCCCCATATGCGCAATTATTTCAAGAATATTTTCAAGGGCTATGTTTTCCTCCATCTATGAACATGATTAGTGAGTTATAAGTCATGAACATCACCCACATACAAAGTTATTTAATAATGAAAAAGCCGATCAAATCTAGCAGTAACATGAAATAAATGGCAATCTTTTCTGATTGATCTCTCCGTGCTCTCTGTTTTGAAAAACATGGTTTTGCAGGGTTCGGTAACGGTTCGATTCGAATTACACGGAACGAGCTTCTGCTTCGTGTGCACTCATCTTGCTTCTGGCAATCGACAAGCAGATCATATATTAAGAAACTCCAACGCGGCCGAAATATTGTCAAGGACAAGCTTCCCGGGAGGCCCTTCACTGCATTCGTCTAGAAAGATTCTTGATCACGAGTAAGTACCTCATTATTCATTAGAATTAATCCTAGTTAATCTCATTAATATATAATACTCCAAGGTTTTGCATCAGCTGCACAAATCTATCTGTCTTTTTCGCTAGGAACCACGCATACAATTCGTAAACAAAACAGTTAACCATAATCTAAAATTAATTTCGCAACCTGTGGTTGTTTAAGTAAGCTGGTGAGTTGTAAAATCTATAGGAGCAAAAGATCAAATGCCCATGCGACACTAACCCTTATCTTCGACCCATGCATTAGAGTTTACGCGATGCATCCTCTAACCTAACCGGGTTCATCGCAGTAGGGTAATTCTGCTCGGAGATTTGAATTACCAGATTTCCCTCCCGGAAGCAACGACGCGGTCTCTCGTCGAGCGAAGCGAATGGAATAAGCTGCTAGAACACGATCAGGTAGCTTCTTCATCACCAATTTAAATTCCAGTTTTTATGAAGACTCTTCTATCCCATAATAACCCAAAACCTGATTCAAAACTTATATATGATGGGAATTGAAGTTAAAGGCAGAGCTGGGGAATGGTCGAGTACTACAAGGTTGGCAGGAGGGGAGAATTGATTTCGTTCCTACCTACAAATATTGCCCTAATTCGGACGTCTATTACGGAACTGGCCATGAGAATAGTAAAGGAGGAAGAAGACGAGCTCCTGCATGGTACACCATACATTCATATCGACTCATTTTACTTATGAATGTTTTTGCTTAGACACCCTTCTACATTGGGTCATTTGTAATGCGATCGGTATATTCTTCCATGCTTTTTTATTAATCTAAATCAAGTCGTTGTCGATAATGTATATAGGTGTGATAGGATAATATGGCGTGGGGAAGGACTGAAGCAACATTTGTACACGAGAGGCGAGTCGAAGTTGTCCGACCATCGGCCGGTGAAGGCGATCTTCACCACACAAGTCGGTGTTTTGCTAAAGCTTGAAGGCCTTCGAAGCTTCTTCACCTCCCAAAGCTTTGAGCAGATCAAGAACGTGTCGGCAGATGAGATTTCGTATTCAGTGGCGCGTCGAGCTTTTAAATTTCTCAGTGTTGATTAATTTCATGTGCTGACGTTCTGCATAGTGAATTGCCCAAGTCAAGTCCAAGTCGACCTTTCCATTTCTATTAAAATCGGAATTTTTTTTAATGCATTTGGCTCCAACTAACAATAGTCTAAGATGTGGTTCCCAATTAATCGGAAAAATACATTCTAAAATCACAAAAAGAAACGCTCATTTTAAAAAAAAGTACAATAAGAATTGTTTACAACAAATTTTTCATATAACTTAATGTGGCGGGCTTCTATCGAATATCAAGCATGATCAACTTGTTTCATTGTCTACCTGCAATTTACCACATGATTAGTATAACAATTTTAATAGATCGGTTTCAATAAACTTTATTTCCATTGATGGAAGATAAATTTTAATAAACTTAGCGTTGCTCAATTGCAAACATGGGCACAATCTAGGGATACCAACCTAAATGAGGAAACTGCAAATGTATAAAAATGGGTCGGATCTTACATTTTACACCAAAAAATGGGTCGGATCCTTCAGGACCCAACTTTGAAATCCATAGGCCCGTGCCTAGTAACTAACAACAGGTGTTTGGGCTGAAAGTTCAAAGATAAGAGGCTCTCTCACATTCCAAAATGGGCACCTGGGCTATGTATTTGGGCTCTAAATCTTAGGATTCAAGAAATCAAAGCTTGTACCCATAAAATTGGCGTTTGCACCACCCTCCTCGCTCTCGTTTATCTCCTCAAAGTCCAAAGCACAAACGCTGCGTTTGGTAAGTCGGATATAACTCCTGATGGGATAAGTTTTATTATTTCTAGCATTTAGGGCAACGCAAAATTAGGATGTTGTCCGAATATAATCTGGATAAAAAAATCACACCTATGGAGTGGAATATAATCCAGATATTGCACACCAAGACCAGCGTTACCTCGACACCCCTCCAACAATAGCATTGCTAGCCAACGCGTGAGGACCACCACCACGATAGTCAATTGTCGTTGCCTCCACTCTCAACCACCGCCGAGAACTCTACATTCCACCGCCCATCGCCATCGATGCCATAGCTCTTGGCTGGCAGCCTGTCACCTCTAATTTCCAATTGGCAGTTTGCAGTCGTCGTCAAGCTCAAGCTTGGCCGACATAATCGAGCCTTAGATCTCGACTATGAGGTCGACCAAACCCTAAAATTCATGATCGAGTGCTTGGGTTGAGCGCTACAAAGCCCAAGCTCGATCTTGGCGCAGGTTCATTTGTCAGTGCATCTCCTTCCCCTCAACAACGATGGCGACGGGGGAGGGAGAGATTGGAGAGCCATGTGCGAAGTTGAAGTCGAGCGCTGATGGGGGAGAGAGAGGCGCTCGCTGCTGTTCATGGTGATCGTGCCTATCATCGCCATGGTCCATAGGAGTTCGCTCCTTGCTATGGCCTACGTACGTTGGTCGGTGTAGATTTGTGCTGTCGTTGCAAATTTGTTCTCGCACCTGATTTGGTCACTGTGCGTCAACAACCACATAGTCACCATACGAGAAATGTGACCAACTCAAGAGGGGTTGCTGCGCTAGATTTGGGAGGATGCAACCATGCTATGTCAACGTGGTGATCGTGGCTATTGTCATTGGGGGGGAAAATTGTCAAATCAGTCCTAAACCTATTGTACGGCGGCCAATTCAGTCCTAAACCTTTTAAGTTTGCCAATTCAGTCCTAAACATTTTAAATTCTTGCCAATTGAGTCCTTCCGGCCAATTTTGGCCTGCCGGCGCTGACGTGGCCGCCGGCCGTCCGGTCAACGCTGACGTGGCAATTTTTAATTATATATTTTTTTAATTTTTTAATCTTTTTTTTCTTTTTCTTCTTTTTTTTTCTGGTTTCTCCCCTCTGACCGGTCCGGCCACCGGCGGCCGGCCAGAGGGGGAGGGCCGGTGAGTCCTCTGGCGAAGCTCGCCCCGCCGGCCCCTGGCTGGGCAAGGCTCGGCGAGGCGAGGTCGAGCCTCGCCGTCACCGGGTCGCGACGGCGAGGCTCGACCTCGCCGTCGCCCGGGTCGCGACGGCGAGGTCGAGCCTCGCCGTCGCCCGGGTCGCGACGGCGAGGGCGAGGCTCTACCTCGCCGTCGCGACCCGGGCGACGGCGAGGCGACGGCGAGGCTCGACCTCGCCTCGCCGAGCCTCGCCGTCGCCCGGGTCGCGACGGCGAGGTCGAGTCTCGCCGTCGCCCGGGTCGCGACGGCGAGGTCGAGTCTCACCCAAATCTCGCCGTCGCCTCGCCGAGCCTCACCGTCGCCCGGGTCGCGACGGCGAGGCGAGGTCGAGCCTCGCCGTCGCCGGGTCGCGACGGCGAGGCGAGGTCGAGCCTCGCCGTCGCCGGGTCGCGACGGCGAGGCGAGGTCGAGCCTTGCCCTCGCCGTCGTGACCCAGGCGACGGCGAGGCTCGACCTCGCCTCGCCGAGCCTGGCCCAGCCAGGGGCAGACGAGGCCTCGCCGGTGGTCGGCGGGGCGAGCTTCGCCAGAGGCCTCGCCGGCCCTCCCCTCTGGCCGGACCGGCCAGAGGGGAGAAACCAAAAAAAAAAAAAAAAAATTATTAAAAAATTGAAAAAAATAATTAAAAATTGCCACGTTAGCGTTGATCGGACGGCCGGCTAAAATTGACCGGAATGACTCAATTGGCAAGAATTTAAAAGGTTTAGGACTGAATTGGCAAACTTAAAAGGTTTAGGACTGAATTGGCCGCCGTACAAAAGGTTTATGACTGATTTGATAATTTTCCCGTCACTGGGGTCAATAGGATGTTCCTAGATTAGCGGATAGCATATACCGATATCCATGTTATATGCCGACATTTAACATATATTGTATAAGAAATTAAAAATCCCATTGTATCTTTATAAGTGCGACTGCCTCGATGGTGGTTGTTGTTCTAGATTTGGGGGATGCAACCATGGTATGTCGGTATGGTGGTCATGGCTATCGTCACCGAGGTCAATACGATGGTCCTAGTGTGGCGGATAGTATATATCAATATATGTTATATGCGGACATTTACCATATATTATATAAGATATTAAAAATTCTATTGTATCTTTATCCAATCCAACCTTATCCTATTCGATGAAAAAATCAAGATGACCAAACATAGCCAAAATCCATATGTCTTTGATAAAGCATACCCAGCAAGCATTTCAACGTTAAACTTTTGCCAGAAATTTCCGTGAAATGCTTTTTTTTTCTTAAGATGTATTGTATATCCAAACATATGATCTACTAAAATAGAGAAAATCTTCATTTAAATAGTCAAGATAATTGTCAAGTTATTTTATAAGTATCTTATTTTTCAAAATTGAAAGTAAATCTTGAGTTATCTTAAAATCATTTCAACTTCTTTCCTGAATTAATTTGTACTTTTTATACATTTATCTCTGCCTCATACATATTTAATTTTTCCTCACACTTATACACGTGTCCTCTTTTACTTGTTTTCGAAAGGAAAGAAATGTTGTCATTTTGAAAGAAATTTTTTGATAATCCTAGTACTTAATACGTGGTCAAGGGATGATTGTCCAAAAAGTCTTAAGTTAATATAGCAGCCAATTTGGTCTTATATCTTTTGGCCATCTGCCAATGCAGTCCTTCTGGCCAATTTTGGCTGACAATTGCTAACTTGGTCATCGGTCATCCTTCGTGGCATAGTCGCGCACTGACATGAACAACTTTTGTAATTTTTTTTAAAAAAAAATTTGAAATTTTTTCTTGTTTTTTCTTAATGACCTCCGACAGTTGTCGGGAGTGAACTTCACCCAGGCGTGGCCCGACAACCAGCAAAGGGAAATATGGAAAAAAAGAAAAAGGAACAAAAAGAAAGGAAAACAAGAAAAAATTCAGAAAATCAAAAAATTGCAAAATTCATCCATGTTAACGCTAACCATGCCATGTGGAACAGCCAGTGCTGACTGGACTATCACATAAGCGATTTTCAGTTAAAATTGATCAAAATAACTACATTTACAGGTCGTCAAAAGGTTCGGGACTAAATCAGCCAAATAAAAAAATATATGACTGCATTGGCCACCGTACAATATGTTTAAGGCTATTTAAATAATTTTTCCTAAAGAATAACAAGACACAACAATATAATCGAATTAGCAACAGATAGAAATTCAAGAAACCTAGAATGAGAAAATCCTCCCATCAATCAATATTACAAAAGACTCACAAATGGGTTCAACAACTTTCTATTATGACCCATCAACGAAACCATAGGATCTCGGCCTTGCTGTAATAAAAAATTTGTTGCTTGTCTTGGAGGGACTAGAGGAAACACATAGGAGATTCGCCTTTGAAAGGGCTAGTCCATCATTGTGTTTAATAAACGAGATTTCCACTACATCACTCCAATAACCTAAATCTTTGGGAGGATTACATTTTGCCCCCCAAGTTTTTAGGATTGTGGCAAATCGCCCCCTGGCGTTTCAATATTTGCAATTTGCGTCCTCACCTTTTTACATATTTGACCACGTGATTATATTTGATTAATTCTAGAAGGCAAATTATTAATTCTAGAAGGCAAATTAGTCATATATCATCTCTATATGTGAGAAAAAAATATAGTAGTGATATATTTCAAAAGTTTCCATTGACGTGCATTTGGCGTTGACTCTAGTCAAATTCTAGCTAGAACTTCAGTCACATGCTCTCACATTCAATATATTTCTGAATTATTATTCTACTTTTTTATATGGATACACTTATATGACGAGTTGCCCTCAATAATCAGTCACGTGCTGTGTCACGTGGTCGGAGCTCTAAGCACAATTCAGTCAGAGTCAACGCCGAGAGACACATTGCAACCAATTTTTAAAATTCATGGGAAAAAAATTGACAAGTCGAGGAGCAATTTGCAATAAACCTAAAACTTAGCGGGCAATATGTAATTAATAATGTACAGCAACTCATCCATGAAATTGAATTAATCATCATCCTCTTCTTATCTTTTCTTTTTTTAAATCGTCCATTCACGTGAGGGATATGGAGTGTTGGGCCAAGGTTTCCACTTGATTCTGAGTGGAACACATGGATGGTCTGACACTATTTTCTTTTCTCTTTCTTTTTTGTGGATTTTATCAGTTGAACAATAGTAGAAATGTGGTTATGGTCTTAGCTGTTCTTCGTGTTCTTTTGTTTTTTTATGCACATTCAGACGCTTTGCAAAGACATACAGACATATATATATATACATATATATATATATATAATATGCTTTGTATTTGCTTGTGGACATGGACAAGTATTGTCTTGTTCCTTCACTGCCTTTATACTCCGAGTAGTTTATTCCAATTCTTGATTTATTTCTCAGGGAGAAAACAAATGTAACTGAAACAATTTTCATGTCATGTCGAAACTTGTAGATTCTGATAAGCAATGGACAGTCGACGGAGTATTCCAACGGATAGGCCTATCTCTATGGTCCCAAGATCTCCCACCACATTTGCAGACCACCTCTCATCCGAAACCACATAAATAGAAAGCACTGTTCTATCGTTCCAGAACAACATCAACAAAAGGGAAATCGAAACAAAAAATGGGGGGAAAAACAGAGAGATTCTTTTCTAATTTCTCTAGGGTTCCAATTTTACCTATCGACCAACTTGTAATTTCTCGATTATAAAATTCAATCAGGACAGATGTTTCAGTATCACCGAGACAGAGAGGCTACAGATGAAAGCTGCCCACAGACAGGGTAATTCAATGGCGACCCTTCAAATATTTTAATACCTAAATAGTCACTCTTCCAATAATGGAAGAACCCTAACCTTACCCGCTTGAAGCTTTTGAAAAAATGGATATGGACTTTTAAGTGTTGGATCTTGATTTTCTGCTCTTCTCAAAGCTGCTTTCACGTCACAGAGGACCCCAGTGGCACGCACCACACCAATAGCATGGATTTCGTGTTCCCTTATGATCCCTCGTTTCAGCATAAGCTTGGATTAGCAGAAGAAAACAAGGAGCAGAAAGCGAGTTAGGATAGGGAAAGACGTCCTTTTTTCTCTCCTCTTTTCTTCCACAACTGCGTTTCTTGATGATCTCCCTTCATGTACGAGTCTTTCTTTTTGCTACAACTTAATGCGGAAGTTTGTTTCCACGCACGAAATGCACACTGCAAGCGAAGAAAGCAATGGTAAATCGCCGTCATTTAGCTCGTGGCTAGGGAAGTTTGCGATGAAGGATAAAGGCATGGCTACATCAAATAGTAAGTAGAGACTCAAATGAATAGCTTGTGCTATAACGAGGGAAAGAAGGGTTAAGAGATTCAAATATCGGTCAATAATTTAGTATCATTTTTCAAGATGATAACGTGTCTTATTAATAGGTGTCTTTTCTTTGTTAACGTACAAATGCCGTATTTTCAGTACACAACATTCCCACGTACATGTATGAAAAGTCGTGCACGTTAAAAGATATTCTTTACCGGCTTGGGGAGTGAAAACCAAAGTTTAGTGATTAACATATTCATTTTTCTCCATGTAACTAGTGCGGGCAATAATCTAAGTGGGTCCATGGATCAACAAAATTTACTTTTTCTTCGTGCAAACTAGTGAGGACGATAACCTAAGTGGGTCCAGACACGCATAATCATTAATCACCCCCCATTCCCAAAAATGACCCCACCTTTCTCATGGGCTCGCCATTGTCGATTTGTGGGTTATTAGTCTTCAATGCCCATGGATTCACGCGAATATCGATCCCACGGGCTAATATCGGAAACCATCTCCCCCTTTACTTTAATAATATCCTCGATCTCTTTCTACACTGTTGCATTTCGCTTTCCCAACGGCATATAAAAGGAGTTGCTTGCCTTTAAGCTTTATGTGTAAAGAAGAAACTCATCCCATTCTTAGTGTTTCTTTCTTTACCTCCACTCTCTCTCTCTTCTTCTTCTTCTTCTCGTTCTTCTTCCGCAAAGAGAACGGACGCCATGGCTGTCCTGGGGAACAAGCTCTTGGTCCTTGGGTTTGTCCTAGGGTTCTGTCTGGTCTCTTCTTTGGGTGAACTCGAACGGTTTGAAGAGTCGCCGAAAGCGGATGGGTCTCTCACGTTCTTGGTCGTCGGAGATTGGGGAAGACGAGGCGACTACAACCAAACCGAAGTTGCTCAACAGGTCACGCTTCTGTCTTTCTCGCTTCCTCCCTTGTCTGACTTTTTACATGACTTGCCGTGTCATCTTGCCTTCTTTTTCCCCCACCTTTTGAACAAGGTTATTATAACCAGCGTCCACATGAAACACCTGATTAGTCTCTTTTTCTCTTCATACCAAATACCATCGTTAATCACAAGAAGAGGAACGTCTTGAGTTCGGACCGTCCGCGTCGCTAAAACTTGTTTGGAAACTATACATTCGTGTGGTTCTGTTCTGACGTGATTTTTCTTAATTATTACCAAGTGTTCGACGACTTACATGAACAAAATCGTATATGAGGAAAGCAGACATCATAGATCTGTTAGTGTAAATGTTTCAGTCATCATCAACTTGATCAAAAGCTTTGGTTCTCAACTTATCTTTGTCTGCTCTGTTGGCCACGACGGATCAAGAAGACCTTAGCAGGCATTGGCCAATATGGCCAATATTCCATTGAGCAGAGAGAGATGCTATAATGTCCATTTGAACAGTTCTCGTCCAATGAGGGACGAACACATGGCATGTTTAAATAGTAGAATCACATTCTCGAGAGGGTATTATTCTCTTGTAGATTCCATGTGCTCTTTCCTTTTCATGTTGGCGTGTGGCGACCTCCCCCACCAATTACTATAGGACAAATCTATTTATGTGTATTCGGTCCAGATAAGCCTATCTATGCAAATAGCACTCCCTCTTTGAGTTTATTACAAAGTAATATTTTCCACTCAAGTTCGCCTTTGGTCAAAAACCAAAAAAGCCCAAGATATAATTAACTATAATAAAACCAAACCTTAACTTATTTAAATATCATAGGGATGTATGTTTTACATGGGTCCAACCCTAAACACTTCAGAATATATTTATCTTCTCGTATGATCTGGCCACCTTATCTTTTTTTTAAAATAATTTCTAACCTGCTCCGCGTGGACATTAAAGAGTCGTCATTCTTTTTCTGGCTGTATATTCTTTGAATGATGTGAGCTTATCAATATCTTAATCTTTGTTCATATTATATCTATAGATGGGAATAATTGGGGAGAAGCTGGACATCGACTTCGTGGTCTCCACCGGCGACAACTTCTACGAAGACGGGCTCACGGGCGTCGACGATCCGGCTTTCCAAGAGTCCTTCGTCAACATCTATACACATCCCGGCTTGCAAAAGCAGTGGTACAGCGGTAAATATTCCCCCCAAAACCCTACAAAATAAGTGGGGGAAATCATAGCGTAGCTATGAAATATTCAAAAGGAATATGAAAATGGGTAGTTTCTTTTATAATAATTTCTTCTGTGGTTGCTTTTCCAGTCTTGGGGAATCATGACTACAGAGGCGACGTGGAGGCACAGCTGAGCCCAATCCTTAGGAAAATGGACAGCAGATGGCTTTGCTTGCGATCCTTCATCGTCAATGCCGGTAAAGCAAACATGATAACTGGGACCAACCCCCTTTTATGCCCCCTAAGCTTTTAGGACAAAGTCAAATGAAAGATCTTCGTGATCGAAATAGATGGTCTTAAGATAATTTAATATGTTTTCTTGTTCATTGTGTTTCGGGTTCTGACAGAGATTGTTGAGCTGTTCTTCGTGGACACGACTCCTTTTGTGGACAAGTACTTCACGAAGCCAAAAGGAGACGTCTATGACTGGAGCGGTGTATTGCCCAGAAAGCGTTACCTCTCCAATCTCCTCAAGGTAATAATCTCAGTCTCATCTCGTGTGCTCATCAAACATTGTTGATAAACATGCATTCGAACATTACAAGTACGTAAGTTCTCTTTTGGACATGCCATGGACCGGAACGCGTGGAACATTTCGGCAAAACCCTAGACCATGTCCTTGTTTGGAGCTCCCCCTCGTGGCCTTGGACCTCGTCTGAATACAGAGGACTACGAACTCACTAAGATCTACTATTCAGCTATTCTTGATTACTATTCTTGTGGAACGAAGAACTGATCTCTTAGACTGCTGTGACAGGACGTGGATTTGGCTCTGAGAGAGTCGAGAGCGAAATGGAAGATCGTAGTAGGTCACCACACCATCAAAAGCGCCGGACACCATAAAAACACCGAAGAGCTCGGCGCTCAGCTTCTTCCCATCATTCAGGTCCCTTCAACTAAGATAATATCATATATGTCGCTTGATCAGCCAAGTTAATCGCCTTTCTCATCTGTATCTTGTGCAATTATCCAGGCAAACAACGTTGATCTCTACATAAACGGCCACGACCACTGCTTGGAACACATCAGCACTTCCGACAGGTAGTTGTTTTTAATCAGATCACCGTTGATCTCTCGACAAGAATAATGTCATTTCGATGCACCTTTTTTAATATTATCTTTCCTGTCAAGTGCAGTCCTATTCAGTTCTTGACTAGTGGAGGTGGATCCAAGGCGTGGAGGGGCGACGTGAGCTGGCCAAATCCGGAGGAGCTCAAGTTGTACTACGATGGCCAAGGGTTCATGACCGTGCAGGTCACGGAAGCCCAGATCGACGTCGTTTTCTACGACATCAAAGGCCAGGTTGTTCACCAATGGAGCACTGCCAAGCCTCTCTTCTCCATCATATGAGCAACTGCCACTTGAAGAGTTATGATTATGTAATATCGAATTTTCAACTAAGTGGCTAATGTAAAAGTTTGTCATGTGGTATAAGTAGGTATGTAGTTTTGCCTAGTCTAATGCAAGAATTTCATCAATGAGACTTCTGTGTTTGGAGTTACAAAATATATATTTTGTTGTCATTTGGTGGCATTATATGAAACTTTCAATGAATGTTAATGTTAATCAAGACCAAGACTAAATAATCCGGGAGAAATTACCGAAAAAGTCCTAAACTTATTGCACTTATGCCAATTCAGTCATAAACCTTTCAATTTGATCAATTTAGTGTTAAACATTTTGACAACTTGTCAATTGAGTCCTTCCGGCTAATTTTGACCGGAAATCGTTGACGTGGACATTGACTGTTTTACGTGGCACGGTTGATGTTGACGTGGATGATTTTTATAATTTTTTAGAGGCATTATGTGTACTTCAATCTGTCCTTTGTCAACAATGAGAGCGACGCGGTATCGACTTTGTGGGTTGTACAGTTTGCAAGACGCAAATTCAACCAAATTCAACCACGATTCTATGCAAAGTGGGGCTGATTGATCTGATTGTTGCCTTGTTTAATTGTCTAAAAATACAATTGATTACCGTCACGTCACTTAGTGCAAAAGTTTCAATGCGAGTTTGCTTGCAGCATAATCCATCTAATAACATGTTTACTATGTCCTAAGTTATCCGTCTCACATTAATTACGAAAAACTATATTATCGCCTTGTTTAATTGTCTGAAAATACAATTCATTATCATCAGCTCACGTAGTGCAAAAGTTTCAATGTGAGATTGCTTGCAGTATAATCCATCTTATCACATGTTGACTATGTCTTAAGCTATCCGTCTTGTATTAATTACGAAAAACTATAGTATATATCATCGGTGTAAGCATAATTAAAATCGCAATGACTAATACACAACCCACGCGAGTAGCTATTGCCTATCTCTTGCAACTTACATGTGTGCATTATAAAGGTCTGCTAAATTTCACTGTCTAGTCCCTTTGTTCCTCTCTCTATCAGGGTGGCACGGTATTACTTATTATTTGAAAAATGGACCATTATGATTATTATAGATTAGTGATTTTCTAGCACAGATTACGACTTTATTGTTATAAATCCTGGTAATTAATGATCAATTTATGAGATTAATTATAATGTAACATAATTAATGTATGGCTAGTCTAGAGGCATAATCCTTATATCACAGAGAGCTCTAATTCATTTTCCGACACTTCACTCTTATTGCTTTGCTATTCCGGAGTGTCGGTTGTCGGACCAACAATAAAACTATGTCCGTTCCATCTTTCAAAATTCTCTTTCAAAGTGAAGTTTGTGTTTTTCCTTTTTTAGAATTAGGCCATTGAATCTACATCGGCTATCTTTTCCACAGGTTGAACGATTCGAGTGCAAACTGCAAAGGGCACAATGCTTTGTTAGATTCCGGATATTCCCCCCGGGATGTAGAAAGCTAAAAAAAACAATGGACGAAGCTTCTTCCAGCCTTCCTCGGCTGAGTCATTCTCAGATAACGCTAAAGTGCTTTCTCTTGCACGCTCGTGTGACGAGTGCGGCTTTCTTTGTCAACATCATCAGCACCACCTTCGAATCAACACGGTGCAAGTGGTTGGTTCTCTTTAGTTTTATCATTCCGTGACAATTGGCAAAGATAAAAACAAGGTAACACCGTCGTGGCGTGGTGGGGATTTCGGATTCCTGAGCACATCGATTGATGTCGTGTCGTGTTCATCGGCGGGAGCATGATTTAGAAGCCGGAACTAGGAAAACCTTCCGTTCAATCTCGACCAGCTTCGTACGTTGATCGGACCGTGGAAAAAGTGGCCGGCGCGGCGCAAGCGCATCTCGCGTACACGATTTGGGGGTTCTTTTCGTCTTTTTCAAAATTGCTTATATGGAATTTAAAAAGTTGAAAATATGATTAAAATCAGAGAGAGAGAGAGAGTTTATTGGGTTCGGCGTACGCGTAGAAGTGCCAAGCCTGAAACTGTTTGAATCTGGGCCTTTCTTGTCGGCCTACTCAAGATTTAAGCTCAATGCTCTTAGGCCTGTTTCCAAAAAATAAAGACAAAAAAAGGTTTACTTGCAAAAATCGGGAAGACATCGTAAGTGACTTTAAATAATAAAATACATGTTTGTAGACATTTGAGGCAATATGTGTTTCAAATTTCAAGGCTACGTTTATTTCGCGGAAAATAAATGATTTGGAAAGTATTTTCCTAGAAATAACGGATCATATCACTTACAAAAACGAACGAACGGAAAATATTTTTATCGTCTACGAAAATGTTTAGATATTAATTGTTGCCGGTAATGAAAATATTTTTTATTGACTAATGATTTCAAGCAGTACGAGCGATTAGTTTCAAGAAAATGTGATACAAATTATTTATTTTCCGCGAATTTAACGGAGCCCAAGAGTCCAAAGCAAAATGCCAAAAGCAAAAGATCGAAATCAAATTGAAACTTTGTTGCGGCATTTGTATATTTAGATAGATAATTACACTCGGGAAAATTGTCCAAAAAGTCACAAATCTATTGTACGGAGGCTAATTCGATCCTATACCTTTCAATTGTGCCAATTTAGTCCTAAACTTTTAGACGATTTGCCAATTTAGTCATAAATCTTTTATTTATATCAATTTAGCCCTAAACATTTTGATGATTTACCAATTTAATCCTAAAAGTGGATGAGTGTGGAACCGCTAAACGGTTTCAATCACTCTTCACCTTATGAAATTTGGATTGCCTAGGCATACCTTTGTTTTCATTAACATCTCTTTATGCACGCCTACGGATCGATAATTCTCCACACAATGCAATTAGTTTTTTTTTTGTTATCTTCAATTATCATCCTTAGAAATGGCACAATAAAGACGACATCATGAGAGCGAATTTCAAGTCCTGAACACGTTGATCGATATCATGGTGTGCTAATTAGAAGAAGTGTAATTTGGAAGTCTAAATTAATAGGGACACTATTTCGAGAAAATCCCATTCATCCTCTGCATGGATCGTGAAATCTCAAAGTAACCGGTGCTCTGCAAGTTATGACTACCTTCTTCTCGTCACATAATCACAGCACTCTACTCATTATCATTCCTTCTCAAGAACTTATGAAAGAATTATTGTGAAAATCGAACATTTTTCCTATGAATTATATAAAAATCGAAGAGCAGCAGGAAAACACCCACCAAAAATATCCAAACTCAGCCGATCTCTTCACTTCCTGCAAGTAGTAGTACCCTTTTCGAATTCAATTTTCCTTTCCAATGCCAGCAAACCAATGCCTAAAATGGGCAAAAAGAGATCGTACGCAAAATCCACGGAGCTGGTAAAAGCAAGCCTGTAGCCTTTCTTTAATTGCATAACCTCCAAAAAGGAGGACCACCATTGAGCTGGAAAAGAGAAAATCCATTGCCCATTCTGTTCTTTTTACTCTGGAAAATCTTTCTAGTTGCACCTATTCAAGGATTTCAGACGGTTCTAACCCACTCTTTTCCTTAGCAACCCATGGGAGGAGGTGTCTAATTCAATACTTACTTTTCCTCTCTTCCCTTCTTCTGTTTAATTTAAGTTTAAGAAGGCAGTTTAAGGTTTGGTAAGCGAGCGTTCGCATCGATTCTCAGAAATTTCAAGGAATGCGCGCCCGATGAAACCGGGATATAAGCAAAATGCCCGTTAGAAAATTTCCCGACCCCCGCCCGGAACTGGCGAATAATGGACGCATGGGAATGTACTTGGTGAGTTGGTGTGGCTTGGTTCCCACTTGGACCTTGTCTCTATGCTCAAAAAAAGTGATAGCTTAAATGGCAACCATGAGATGCTCTCTCTCTCTCTTACTCTCTCAACCACCGCTCAAACTCAAAGCAACAACCTTTGAAAACCATTATTCCCTTCAGACCAGGCCTCCTCTGAGGAATAACATATGCTTAACTGAACCTCGGATTCCATTTGGCCTCTGATAAAATCTCCCTCCCCTCTGACCCAGAAGATTTATCGACAAATGACACCCCATTCATACCCATATATAAGAGGACAACCCAAGTCATGCTGATGCTTATGAGGGGACAAAAACACAATCGATTGCATGAGTGCAAGCAGACTGATGCCCCCACCATGCCAACAACATGTTTATTGAAGCTAAAACGCAATGAGGTATGCCCAAAGTACATGAATCATATCCACCAAATTGAATTCAGCAAAAGCCAGAGACAAACAACACCAATGACAGATTTTTGGCCCACAAACATAATGGAATCACGAAACTATACATGAAATTGACCCGACATCAATATCCAATATCCAATATCGCCTTTGTCTCTCTCCGCCTATTCACAGTAAAATTTTGCAGACAGCCTTGTAGAATCGAATGAACAATTGGTGGGCATGACTCACATGGAAGTAGATGATGCACGGTGGTGGCGACGCTTCGTGAAACGCCGCTTGCCTTGGCCGAACGTGACGGGATCGAACGACCGGAGGTGCTTGGCTTCTTTCGCATTTAGGATGCACTCTGGAGGAGGAATCTTGTACCGAGCTCGGTCATAGCAATACGAATAAGTCATGTGCCTCTTCCTGAAGTTCTCCATTTGGACTTTCTGTTCGCGTGTAATGGCTGTAGGGATCGATCCCGAAGGAAGGACTGCGTCGCATGCTGACGAATGTTCGATAGGATCGACTGCACACCCATGAAGGACTAAATCAGAGAATTGGACGATGTAGGGGGCATATTTGTAGTTCACTCGGTATTTGCCTCCATTGGTAGCCCAGTTGGACCCATCCCATATTGTAGCATACAAGGTCATCGGTTTAGAGGGGAAGTCTCCGCCCATGGCTTTTGTTCGCTTCACCTCTCTAATAGGCACATTGTCTACGTAAAATCTGTAGAAAAGAAACAATTAAAACAAGCAAATACATAGAATTAATTGCGATGACAAGAAACAAAAACCAAGGGCAACTGAAAATGCCAAACTGGAAAATCACTCTAGAAACTGTCGTTAAATATATGATAAATAAGCCTCTCTGATGTCTGGTATCAGCATAGTGGAACTAGATATATGGATTATCTTGTAACACCGTGTGCTCTCGATGTTATGACCTTTGTAGAATCTTACCTATATAAACATCTCCACAAAAGTTTCCAACTATGTTCCCTTTCCTATTACAAAACCACATACCAGCACCCCATCCATGACATTGCACCAACCCATATGAAATTACCATGAACAGTAAATCAAAGCTCTTATATAGCAAGATGATCAGCAGGGTATCAAACAACAATTTCTTCAAAATGCAATCTGTTCAACATCAACCAACAAAGTAGCTGCACTTATATGGCCCACTCAAAGAAGTTTTTTCCTAAAGTCTGCTGCCATATCGAAGTGACCAAAATAGCTCCTAGACATCATCTTTTATATGCCAGCAGTTTGTGAAACAGGGGGTGCAAATATCGGGCCAAAAGACAGATCAGCCTAGGAACCATGCCCTACACTACAGAAGATGCATCGCCATCAAAGTACCTCCGAATAAATTCATGGAACCCCACATGGGAATCGCTAATGAGAACATAGTAACGGTAGTTTAGTGACAGCGATTGCTCCAACTCCTCAAGATTTTGGAAGATCTAATGTGAGCATATGTGCAAATAGAATGAAGGGAGACCGAAAATTGAGGGTCACCATATTCTGATCGGCACTCACACTATCAGAGAATCGGTCCAGAGAATACTGTACTGGTGGAAATCGTCGGAGGGATCAAACCAGAGATTATATCTCTCTTCTCTGCCAATGCCGACGCTTCCATTCCCGTAAACATTGGTCTGCACCCTCCAATCTTTGCCTCTGATGTTTCCCAAGAATTCGAAATCAATTTCGTCATGACTTTTCTCGAATATATCCCCATTTGACATCTGAAATAAAATATTTGTAATTCGGGAAAATCAGTTAAACGATCTGCACTTCATAACAAGATAATTAGTGAAGCTGTAACAACAACACCACCACCATTTTTTACACGGGGAAGAACCTAAAGAAATCGAACAAGGAAATCTTTATACGTATTGATTGCACCAATCAACTTCTCGAAAACAGAATTCAATTATTAACCATAAAAACAAAAACTTAGATGAAAAATTTCCTCCTTGGGATGAACAATATCAACTGAAGGTGACCTACTGACCTCGGTCTTGGAAACACAAACAGCAAAACAGAGAATACTACACATGTCCATGTTTTCATTTCTCACACGCGAAAAACCAAAGTGACGCATAAATAGTTTAGAATATCAACTAAATACAATTTCCAAGGACAAATCACTGCACTTTATGTTCATTTCATCTGGATATGTGAAACCAACCAGGAGAGCTAGAAACAGCAACTTGAACCTGTTTCCAAAGCCCAAAGTCGAAGAATTGACAGCAACAAGCAGTCACCAGATTATAGTTTGTGATTAAGCTAGGAAACATTTCAATGCATAACGTACAAAGCCAAATGTCAAAAAGAAAATCAAAAGAAATGAACAAAAACATATGAGGTTTTGATGGCTTGATACTAAAGTTCTTGAACAGCTTACTCACATAAAAAGCAACCACGACTCCTGCAGTGTAATCCGCAGGCAGCTTAATCGAAGCACTGAAGAACCCGTGTAGATAAAGATCCTGAGACACGAATCCAGACCCTGCATTCACATTCGAAAAACACAAACAGAGTCGTTTAAAAAAAGCGAAATTTTTGCAACCCCACGAACCCAATCAAAGACAACCCCACATTACATTAGAATGATTCAAGAAAAAAAATAAGGTAAAAAAAAAGGCAAGAACCTGTGCGTTCGTCGAGAGAGAGATGAACGGACTTCCCATCTCCGTGAAGGACCAGATTGTCATCTCCGAAGAGGTGGGTGTACCCTTCATCGAAAGACATGACGGGCAACTCCAAATTCGAACTCCCGGCCGACCCGACGGCAAGAGCAGCGAGAAGCGCGCAGCAAGCGAAGAACATGCAGCTCATCACACTCCATGAAGCTGACATTTTTCTTGTTTCTGGCTCAATCAATGGCGGGTTTTCTTCCTTTTTACTCGGTGGTTCTGCAATGCGCCGTGTGCTCGTATGAATGACAAGCGAATGGCGTGCCAGAGAAGGAGGAAGAGATAGAGAGACGTGTGGAATCGCCACAGGCTACAGGGGAGGGAAACAGAGAGAGACAGAAGTGGTGAAGAAGGCAGGCAAGCTGACTGCTATTTTATTTAGGCCTAATTCCTTAAAATACCCTCGGGTAAAATGCTAAATCTGCCTCAAATTATTTTTTATCTCATAAAAAATCTCAAATTTTATGTCTAGTCCGAAATTTGCTCTGAACTTTTTTTTTTATCTCAGAAAAAATTTCAAACTTTAAGTCTAGTCCCAAATCTGCCCCGAATTTTATTTTATGTAAAAAAAATCATCAAAATTCAATTTGTTTTCAAAAATACACCCCGTAATCCAGTTCCAACTTGATGTGGCACTTCCACGCCAACAACAAATCCACATCAACAAAGTAATGAAACTTTTTTTACATAAAGAAAAGTTCTAAGCAAATTTGGACTTAACCTAAAAATTAGTTTTTTTTTTAAATTAAAAAAAGTTTTTTGGGGTGGATCTGTTATCGTCTCTAACTTTTATATTCTAAAATGATTTTATTTTGGAAAATTTCAATAATTTTTATTGGGTTGGATTTGTTATCGAAGTAAAAATGCGACGTCGGTCTGTACCTATCGGTCCATTACTTTGCCGATGTGGATTTGTTATAATTGTGGAAGTGTCGCGTTAAGTTGGAACTGGATCACGGGGTATTTTTTTGAAAATAAATTGAAATTTGCTGATTTTTTTTTTTACACAAAACAAAATTCGGGGCAAATTTGGACTAAATTTAAGTTTGGAGTTTTTTCTAAGATAAAAAAAAAATTCGGAGTAGATTTGGGACTTGACCTAAAGTTTGAAGTTTTTTTTTAGATAAAAAAAAAATTTCGGGACAGATTTGGGACTTGACCCAAAGTTGAGGGTTTTTTACTAAATTTACCCATTTTATTTATGGTGAATATATTTTCTTTTTTTGGGGGAGAATAATGCTAAAAATACATTAATTAATTTATAAATGTTTAGTGAGGAACAGGGTGTCGAAATTTATTATTTCCGTCCAAGCCAAAGGAACGCACGATCCTTAAGCATGAAATCTTCATTCGGCATGTGTTTAATTGCTTTTCGGAAATTGAAGGATCAGTCTTGTAAATTACAAAATTATAAATCGCGAAAATTATTTCAAAAGCTGAAAAAAAAAAGATAAGAAATCGCAAAAACCGACTATGAGATTTTTTCAATTTTCATTTAATTTTATTGTGATAGATCATTTATTTGTCCGTCCACCCTTCGCAAGGTTTAATTTGGGTGTCTATTTTGTGTTCGCCTCACATTTCATTGTAATGCGATAATAAATTATCGAGATCGAAAATATTAATTTTAAAGCATGTAAGAATCCTTAAATTTTCCTCATTTTCTTTTAAGTACTCAATTTTATTTTGTTGAAAATATTTATACACACATTTTGCTCTGCTCAATATAGCACATTTGTTGCAAATGAGGGGTTAGGTGAAAAAACAATAAAGCATGACAGAAGGGAACCATTGAAAAATCCTCTCAAAATGCCAGGTCATCATTTAGCTATTAATATATAATAAGCTTTCGATATCGCTTTTAGTTTGCAGCTTTTTTTTATATTAAAAATACAAATAATTTGACTTTTATCGATGATAAACAATATCGATATGCAATCATTTGAAAATTCCGTTAATACTTTTTTGATATAACCAATTTTGTTTGAAATTTTGGAAAAACGGTAAAAGGTTTCCTTTCGAGCACCCGTCAACTTTTACCGAATCGGCGAAATGCGACAAAAACTCACGACAAACATACGTTTTCTCTGGCCCTCTATCTATTTCGAGTCAAGGAATATCACGTCGTAATTTGTCTGTGTCTGCTCACCACTCGATATTTTCGCCTTTTCCAAAACTCAGAGCCACTTCAATCCAAAGATTTTCGCCAATTAGAGTGGAATGGGGACATCGAGATTTGACAAATGATTCAAATCTTCCTTTCTTGATTACCCTCGATTGATGGCGAGGGCACTTTTTATCCCTCCCTCGACACTTTCAAAAATCAGTGTGAACATAAAATTGATCACACTTTCTAACATGCATCGGAGGCGAGGGACAAAATGGGCCAAAAGGAAAAATTAAAAAAAAAACGGAATAATGGCGCAAACAGTCTCTGAATTTTGGCCAAATGTGCAATGTGGACTTTTAATTCGTTCAATGCAGTCCATGAACTTCAGCCTCATATTCGATGTAATCCCTAAAGTTTTAATTTGTTCAATATGATCATAAGATTTTTAATACATGTTCAATATAGTTCCTAAACTATGTAAAAATGCAATGTAGTCAATTCTCAGGAACTACACTGAACATTTTCATATTGAACATGTAACAAAAATACATGGACGACATTAAACAAATTAAAAATTCAAAAATCACACTACACATTTGGTTAAAGTTCAAGAACTATATTGAAAAAATTAAAAATTTAGGGATTATGCTGCACATTAATTCAAAATTCAAGAGACTGTTCGTGTTATTTTTCCCGAGAAAATCAAAGCCGGAACGAAAAGGCAAGAGGAAAGAATCATGGGGGGGGGGGGGGGGGGGAGGAAGTGGAGGCCAACTGTTGTTGTCATTACAATAAGCACCATTTAATCACGCAAAGGAGGCGTGGAATCATTAGCCGAGGCCGACAATTATTAAGCTGAGACTCGGGCGGGCCCCCCGGCCCCAGACAAAAAGTTAAAAAAAGAGGTTTCGCTTTTTAATGCCACTTTTTTTTAGAAAATAATACCTTTTTTGAAATAAATCGGATAACAAAATCAGAAAAAGAAGGACAGAAAAAGATGAATCGGTCGGGGGGGGGTCGGCAATCGGACAACCGACCCAGGCGCCGACCCGATTTCCCCCACCCTTGGCCGTTTCTGTTCTGGCGTCGCTTTTACCGAAGCTGCCCTCCCAAGCTTTCTAAACACGCGGGCTACTACCGTAATTTGAATGCCGGATCGAACGGCGTGGCTCGGACTTAGCTAGCCGGTCACTTGCGCTCAGAGGTGGCAAAATGGGTCGAGAACCCGCATTTCGACCCGTATTTGATGAGATGGGTAGGATGCGAGTTACTTAAATTTGTAATAAAGAGGTTTGAATGAGTTTACCGAAATCGAGCCCGACTGAAAAACGGGCTTTGGGCTTGTCACGGACCCGTTTTCGACCCACTGGTCGCTCGAGATTCACTTGTCCTTCCGCTTGAGCTATTCAAGTATCTTGCCATATTAGAACCTAAGTCGTCGGTACACAATTCGACAAGCCCGCCGGTTCTGATCAAGTTTTTATTATTTTCTTAAAAAGAGTACTTAAAATGATTTTAAATTGCATAAAAAGGGCACACATGCGTAAAGAGTCTTGTAAAGAAGCGCCCTGTACCTGTGAGGAGATTTTATCATTTTTTTAACGCATTGCCTACGCATAACGCAAAGGTACAATGCATTTCAAAATTACGAACTTTTTTTCGATTGAATGTTTAACGAATATCGAAAAAGAAAAAAAACTCGATGACAGAATTTGCGCATAAAGCACAGCTCGAGCTAGAATTCCTCTATAAATGATATTACTTTATTCTAATTAAAATATCTCAATTTTCTATTCGAGCTCGAGTAAAATCTCGATCATCACGTACACGACTCGAGTCGAGCTCAAACTTGTAAATGATAATTACACATACGATCTCTAAGCATTGACCCAATATGTAATGTGGTCCATAAACTTTTAATTTATATAATATGATCCCTGAACTTGAGTATAATATTCAGTGTAGTTCCAGAACTAATATGATCCATAAAATTTAACATAATGTTTAGGGACCACATTAAACATTTGGAAGGATTACATTAGACATTTTTATATAGTTCAGTAACTATATTGAACATGTACCAAAAATTCATGGATTACATTATACATTACACATTATATTAAAGTTCAGAAATCATATTAAATAAATTAAAAATTTATAAATCATATTGCATTTCTGATCAAAATTTACTGACCGTTTGTGACATTTACCCTTACTTGTAATTGGGAATTCAACTCGATTGCAACCGCTCCAAAGTTCGGTGGCAACTTTCGTAAATAAAGGAGGTCAAAGAAGGGGCAAAGCCAGAATTCTACGCGTGTGCGGCCGGACACGGATGGCACATTTCGGCGCAAAAGGGGGCCTTCCTTATTTCTTGCCTCAATCAAATGACGCGGAAGAGACACGTGGCGTATCGACGAGCATTGAATGGCGCGGAAAAGAAAAGGCAAAGAGAAAAGAGAAAAGGAAATTGAAATTTCGGGTCCACCGCGAATGGGGGCGCGCGCGCTCGAATTCCGGGGTACCGGATGAGCCGCGCTGACGTGGCAGTCCCGTTTCGAAAATTGCATTTCGGTGATCGAAAAATTAATTTTGGGGTAAAATATACCTACCAGTTTATGATTTTTCGTGATAATAACTCGAAAGGAATATAATCAATGTCCTTTTTAGTGGTTCTTGTTTTAAATTTTTATAAACCTTATTCGATTACCATTTGTTATCAATCGAAAAACCCAGAGAAATCATTGCGTGCGGACTGATGTTTTGGTTTCGATGATTATCAAACTGAGTCGACCCGAATTCGATAATTACAAAAACGGGAAACATATCAAATCGATTTTACGGTTATAATTAGGGGCTTATAGTACTCAAAGTTTATTAGAGCTGACGATTCGTGTTGGCGTGTTATAATGATGTGCTGGATTCGTGTCAATTCTTTGTCAGTCTAGAACATCTTGGTTTCTATTGTACATGCCGAATAATTTAATTAAGATGAAAACGTGTTACTTCATGCTGACGCATAAAGTTAAGTGTGCCGTGTCGTATTTGGATTTTCTCTCCGTAATTCGCACTTTACCCCGTGTCGTGGAGGTGGGTCACGCCTAACATTGACGGCTCATGCAAAATTCTACACATTTCGATGCTCAACTTGTAGTTTTATCGAACGCGCCCTAAAGGTGATTTCGAATACACCCTTATGGCCGGCGGGCTTGGGGGG